TTTTTGTTTTTTTTTATTGCTTAATTGGGTGGACGAGCTCACATGGTTACTGGAGCCCATAGACATCCAAAGCGTAAATGCGCCACCCACCTCGAGATATAAGTTCTAAGGCCTCAGTATAGTTACAACGGCTGCCCCACCCTTCAAACCGAAACGCATTACTGCTTCACGGCAGAAATAGGCAGCATGGTGGTACTTACCTACCCGTGCGGACTCACAAGAGAGGTAGGTATATATTTAACTTATATGTAACTATTGTACATAATATATGTAATAGTTGTATAACAATTTAGCGTTTGTAATTTTTTCATTACACATTTTTCCATTTCTAATTGTAGCATCCGTATCTATATAGGCAAAGCTTGAAATAAAAGAGGTATTCGCTGTAAAATAATTTCATTCAAATTATTATTTATTATTAATTAAATAATTACATATTTTTTAAGCTATTGCATAGATTTTATCGCGGGCTTTGAGCGCGGCGACTGAATCAAGAAATTCCGTAACGAAAATAACCTGACACACCCACTACGCCTACTATGTAGCTCGCGTTTAACACATTCACACGTTGCGCTTGGGTAGTGTTTGTGAATAAGCGCGTGGCGTGACGTCACACTGCATGCGCATAATGAAAAGTCTACCCATCTCTCTCTCGCGCGGTCTAGCTTATGAGTGTGAAGGGGAAAGTTAATGTTTTGCTTTTATTAATGTTTATTATAGCGTGGTCTTGTTTTATTATTGTTTTAATACTAAATTATCATTGTCGAATTATAATTGCACAAGTTGATAAAAAATGCTATGCAATAGCTTTACCGCGGCAGTTCCCGAATGACACAGGTTTTTTTTTTATTATCATCACATTATTTCAGACGTTTCGAATACAGTACTTACAGTTTTAGTAATAATAGAATAATAAGGCCTAAAGGATAAGAAGACAGTTTGACTGTTGACAATATTTTTTTCTAAGGAAATGCTTAAAACTTATTCAGGAGCGACTTCCACGATCAAGAAATAAATCATCATCATCATTATCCTGCCCTTCTCCCAGTCACCTGGGGTCGGCGCAACATGTTTTCTCCTTCCATACTCTTCTATCATATACCATTTCTTCGCTCACTCCCCTCCTACCCATATCGTCTTTCACACAATCCATCCATTTCTTCTTAGGTCTACCTCTTCCTCTAAATCCTTCCACATTCATAGTTAACACTCTCTTAACAANTCGACTCATCACGATGATAGCGACTCGGGTGATGAAAACAGTGATGATGATGATGGTCAAGATTATGATAACGAAAAAAAAATTACAAATACCAGCTTCGCTTCAACTGAACCAAGACCTGGCAACAGCTCTAGTTTTGACTTAATAGAAGGAATATCTATTTTACCCCAAGATTAAATTATTACAATTATTAACCTATATTAAATACATAATATATTGATTTTAATAATTTAATAGCATTATGACCCAGAGTAAATATTGTTTTTGCACGTGAGTGTACCATGCGCGAACTTACCCCCACTACGTCGACAAATACTCAAGAAGTTTGCCGGCTATTATACCAATATCTTATCACTTCCGGGTGGCTTTTTCACGATGGCTGCGACTTTACGATTACCTATATACCTAATAGCAGCATACATCATATATAGGTATGTATTATAAATTCTGGAACATCAATACGTTACCAAAACCAACTTCATTAAAATGTATAGGTACTCGTTACCGTTCATTGGCGATATTTCCTTTGATCGTAATTTCGTAGATTCACCCGTCCCAATTCAGCGGAGAGGAGCAGGGTTCAAAGAATTTCTGATTATGCACATAAAATATAAATCTAAGTATATAGAAATGGAGTTACTCTGTATTTTAGTCGCATTTTAACAAGTAATTCTTTTTGTTTTTTTTTTATTGATTAATTGGGTGGACGAGCTCACATGGTTACTGGAGCCCATAGACATCCAAAGCGTAAATGCGCCACCCACCTCGAGATATAAGTTCTAAGGTCTCAGTATAGTTACAACGGCTGCCCCACCCTTCAAACCGAAACGCATTACTGCTTCACGGCAGAAATAGGCAGCGTGGTGGTACTTACCCGTGCGGCCTCACAAGAGAGGTATATATTGAACTTATATGTAACTATTGTACATAATAAATGTAATAGCTATATAACAATTTAGCGTTTGTAATGTTTTCATTACACATTTTTTCCATTTCTAATTGTAGCATCCGTATCTAGGTATATAGGCAAGGCTTGAAATAAAAGAGGTAGGTATTCGTTGTAAAATAATTATCAAATAATCAAAATAATTATAAAAAAATCTTTCAAATTATTATTTAGGTATTATTAATTCAATAATTACATCTTTTTTTTATTATCATGACATTATTTCAGACGTTTCGAATACCTATAGTACTTACAGTTTTAGTACCTAATAATAGAATAATAAGGCCTAAAGGATAAGAAGACAGTTTGACTGTTGACAATATTTTTTCTAAGGAAATGCTTAAAACTTATTCAGGGGCGACTTCCACGATCAAGAAATAAGATTGTGTAATAAAAATCAATAATCAAATCCATAAAAAGTATAAATTTGTATAAATACGAAATGTCGCGAATTGTGCGTTTTTAAGTTTTTATGGCCACTGTAAGCATACTAGAATACCTCACCTGACCTCGTAGTGAGTGGCCAGCGTTGCTCATCAACCTTAACAATGCCAGTCATAGCAAACTACTGCTACCTAACACGTGAAACAGCCTATAGACAAAACAATCGAGATTTCGCCCTCATGACTCGAGGATGCAATACCAGGAATTTTAATAAAAAAGCTAAGTACGGGGTTATCAGTTTTTCCTCTTTGTACGAGTACATCTATCTATTTTATGAATCTAAATGTAATAAAGCAGCCTGTTAAAGAAAACTAATTATGTAGTTCCAAAAAAATACCATAAATTACCTTTTTTTTTTCGATTTCCATATTTGTAGTAGACCGGTAAATAAGGACGACGATGTGCTTTGTTCCTTAATATTTTTAAAATCTCTTACGTAAATTAAACTACGTCAATTTCACCAACGAATAGACATTTAGTGGGTTTCAAGCTAAAATTAGCCCAGTCACGCTCAGCTAGCTCCCCGTAAATATGACGCGTTTCACCTCGGTAAGCAATTTCTAAAAACATAAGAGCTTTAGGAGGCCACAGCCTCCGGCTTTATGGACTTATGAAAAAATCATTCGGAAATTCCGTCCCGGCGAATTCTCTTTTTACCTTTTTGTTTGTAAAATATACAGGGGTCCCGAAATAGGTGCCTACGACGCCATATTTATCGTGAATACATACATATGAAGGCTTTTCAATCTCGTAAGCGATTGAATAATGTGGGTTTGAGTGAAACGAAAAAATATGAATAAAACCTCTTTTAGCACTTTGATGAAAAATTTCGTACGTACGTAAGGATGACAACTTTATCAAAATCGGTTTAAACGAAATTTTTTTATTGCCCTTGTAGGCAGACGAGCATACTGCCCACCTGATGGTGAGTGGTTACCGTCGCCCATGGACTTCAGCAATGCCAGGGGCAGAGCCAAGCCGCTGCCTACTAATTACATTATAATTTATTTATTTATTTATAACTTATTTATTTATTATATAATTACATTATTAATTATATTATATTAGACATTATAATATGATAATATAGGTAGGTACCTAACGATTTTCGGATCTAAGGTTTCGAGTGTTTATAGTGCTCATCTACACATAATATTAGGTACCAAGGCCAACTCTAACCACAGCTACATTTACTCAACTTAAATAGCTTCAATTATTCTCCTCCGGGGAATTAATACTTCCTGCCTCAATCCATATATCAAAATCGATATGAAATTTTAAATAACATTGAAATGCCGCCTATCCTAAGATTCAAAAAAGTGTACGAGACGGAAATAAGAAATCGCGGCAGAAATAAGTAGGATGACACCTCCCATTATTTATTTGCGAGTTTAATTTTTTGAAACTATATTGCCCTTCAACTTAAAAATTGTTCCGTGTATTTATTTTTATTACGCCCCACCTGATGGTGAGTGGTTACCTCCGCCCATGGACTTCAGCAATGCCGAGGGGAAGAACCAAGCCACTGCCTACCGTTAAGCACTCTCCACAAGCCTCGTTTGAAGAAGGACATGTTATAGCGCTCGGGAAACACCGTGGAGGGGAGCTCATTCCAAATCCGGATGATACGCGGCAAAAAAGATCTGAAAACTCATTGTGGATGAATGCAGTGGCTCCAAGTAGTATGGATGAACTCTACTCCAGTGGCGGGCGGTGCGATGGTAAAAACGAGATGGTGGAATCACCTCAAACAATTCCTCAGAGCCCTCCCCATGGAACAAATTATTGATGGTGTAGGTATACAAATTAAGTACGTGGGCGCATGCAAGCCGCACGAATAAGTACCACCATCCTGCCAGTTTCTGCTGCAAGGCCTGGAGTACCAGTTTGAAGGTTGGGACAGCCGTTACTATACAATAAACTTCGACGTCACCTATCAAGATGGGTGACGATATTCCCATTGTGGTGTCTGTCAGCCTAGTGAACTTTCAAAATTCCATACGTGAAAATTAGTCCCAAAGTCAGGGTCATGTTGCAGTTTAATCGCAATATGCATGACCAAACACCTTACATTTTTTGGGTGGACTAGCTCACGGCCCACCTGGTTTTAGTGGTTACCGGAGCCGCTAGACATCTACAACGTAAATGCCGCCACCCACCACGAGACACGAGTTCTAAGGTCTGTTTTTACAGCACAACGTCCTATCATAGTAATTACGTAAAATGTAATTTTGTGGGTTTCATTTTTATTGCACGATGACCGTGAAAGTCGATCGTGAACATATCCCAAGTATTTCTCATTACATTAGAAAAAATGGTAATCGTGCCAATTATAATTTAGCGGATAAACGTGTGGATGACGAAATAAAAATAAAACAATCATTGCGCCCTGCGTCCGTTTATTTATGTAATTCAAATTTAATTAAAATACATCGATAAGTGCTAAATTAATTAACTTCATTTACTAACAGTACCCATACCATATACATACAATGAATTGTTTTAAACTTTCGCGTAACATGGACACACTATTATTTAACAACGATTTTCATATTTAATGAGTTACAGATATATCCGCGCTGTTGCAAGCGTCATGATCACGTGCAGACAAAAGTCTGTGGGTACGACGATAGGAGCACATATATTGCGACTGCAATTGTGAATTGCGGCACCATAACAAAAAAGCCTTTCTTCACAGTAAACTTATGTTGATGTTGTTATTAAATACTCCATTTTTATAATTTTATATTTTTTTCTTGATGATCTTGATTGATTTCTCAGCTTATAAATACAAATATTGATTAACTACAAAAAAATGCTAATTTCAATTATAATACAGTCTTAAATATATTTTCCTTGTAATATTTTAGTTCTTGGACGCTCTCAAGAATATCATTTAATGCCCGATGCTCAAATTTTTTTTGGGGTATTAAAGAATATTCTCGTGGGTACCATCGTTTTGCCAATTCTTTAACTGTACTGACATCTATACAACGATAATGTAAATAATCATTTAATTTAGGCATGTACTTTATTAAAAACATCCTATCCATATAAATACTGTTACCAGCCAGTGGACAAATTTTCTCTGGTACATGATTACTGACAAACTTCAGAATTATCCTCTCAGCTTCAGCTAATGATGTGTCTGATTTAAGGCAAGCCTCTGTCAACCCTGTCTGGACAAATATAAAATTTTAATTAACTCACACTTTATGGTTCTTAAAATGTATGAAAATTTTACACAATTAATAGGGGAAACACAGCCAATTTTTGCAGTAATGCATTTGGGTTTGAAGAGTGAGGCAGTCATTGTACTATGTATAAGACTAAGGCTTAGAACCCATGCCTCAAGGTGGGTACCAGCGTTTACGTTTTTAATTTAAAACCAGGTGGGTGCGGGGTAGTCTATCTATCTAAGCCAATAATCTCCAACCTGTGATACGCACCATACCTTTGAGGGTATGAGAAAATTACATTGGGAATGACAAAAATACTGAACAGTTAAAATAGTAAACAGTCTTTGCCTATGAAGTTGCCATTTCATATACAGATAAAAGATCATTTTTTATAAATAATTATTATTTCTATACATCAAAACATGCATCCATGGTATCAGTGCATCTCTATCAGCATGTTAGTAATGTTTCAATACCTTTCTTGAAAAAGTCAGGGGCATGGGAGCCAACAAATTCTTTTAAGGAATTTTGTACAGTATTGATTTTTTTCCCTTCTAAGAAGTTGTCCAAACTTTGAAAAAGTAGGAGTCTGTCAGCAATAGGTTTGATGAGTATGGTGGATGACGCCAAAACATCAAACCCTAGCTCTTGTAGCTTGGAGAGTTTGTTATGTCGTATTAGGTCGAGCATTGACGTGTAGGACCATTGAGGACGAGCGATTAATCAAGGATGGTCAGAGATTTGCGAACGTCTCAATAATTGTATCAAGTTCCCCACGGACGAATCTGCAGTTATGCCTGTTCCATTCGGTAAGAAGCTATGATTAATTTTACTGACACTAGACGACCCAACAGGGACCATGACTTTTTAGAGGTAAGTTTTGGTTTGGGACATTGCTAGGACCTATTATAAACATTATTATGATCTTATTGTATCTATAATATTTAAGTTTTAAATAAACCTTACAACTAATTACTTATTAAAGTGCCAAACTATATTTTTTTAGGTTAGTAAAATACATTCGTTCATATATTGCCTGCCTAATTTTGTGTCAGTTAAGAGAAAATGCATTTTTAGGAGTTAAACTAGGAATAACAAAGAATATCTAGCCTAATCCCTCAAGACACATCTTAGAAAAACATAAAATATTGACTTTTTAACTCAAAATCCTTTTATTTCAGACAAACAGAATGGTTCTTGTCTTCGATAAACAATATTGTTGATGGAAGGTTCTTGTGCACACGACAAAATTGCTCATTTTCAAAAACAGTTATATGATATTGATAATATATATTTTACCTCACCATGCTGGACCTTACACCAGTTATTCATTTTGTTTAAAGTCACTTCAGGTAGATTTATAACTATATCGGGACCTGTCGCCACTACATTTAGCTGTGCATCTGTCACAAGACACGCTATTTCCATTATGTGGTCATTTTCAATATCAAGTCCTGTCATTTCAAGATCCATCCATACAATCCTCTGAGCGATGTCAACTTTAGTATTTTTTTTCATTATTTTCGGAGCTGCAAAATTAAAAATTGTTATTTTTTATTGCGTACACTATTGGATGAGCTCACGGCCCACCTGGTGTTAAGTGGTTACCGGAACCCATAGACATCTACAATATAAATGCCGTCACCCACTTTGAGATATGAATTTTAAAGTCTCAGTATAGTTACAACGGCTGCCCTACCCTTCAAGCATTACTGCTTCATGGCAGAAATAGGCGGGTGGTGGTAAAATGTGTTAAAAATCTACTATTATCTATGTATACAAAAAATCTAATCTGATGACAATAAGATTTCTAACACTTTTTTATATGTTTCTTTAGTGATGTATGGATTTCTCTGCTATATAAAAATATGATAGAAATTTAGTTTTTAAATCTAATTTTTAAAAAAATCGTGATAGAAACCTACATATTGGTAGAGATTTAGTTTTTGTTTAGTGACTATAATAATGTGAAATCATTGTGGCCTACCAGATAAGATGCACTCATAGCAAGAGCTCAACTATGCAGGGTATTTCAAATACCATATTTTTTATTCTAATACAAAAAGCTCATTCACAGAAGACTTCCACAATTAAGGAATAACTTCAAGTATTAAAAAACAAACCCAAAAAAAATGTAAGTTACTTAACTACCATACAAAGTCTCAAAGCGAGCAGTGGTAGAATCCACATTGTGATTTCTATGGACTCTAGAACCACTTAAACCAGGTTTGGTCCACCTATTGCCCATTGACTGGCAATTAAATTTTTTTGCAAAAAGTTAACAAGACTGACATGAGAATGTCATCAATGCAGTCAAAGACAATTAAATATGCAAGGGTAACTCAGCTTTTAAATAAAATTATAAACAAAATACCTATAAAATAAAGAATTTGATAACGTAAATGCGTTTAACAGAATACTTAGTGGTAAGTTAGGCAATGATTTTCAAAAAAATATTTACTTCAGATAGGTACACTATAGTCGGATTTTTTATTAGACGAAGTCAACTGACGTTTACTGTGTTGTCAGTTTTTGATGAAATAAAAATAGTGCTGTGACAAAGTGAACGATTGAAAAAACTCCTGAATTAATGAAATTGCCTCGATTGTCTAGTGAACAGTTGGTGTGCCGAATTGCCGATATCGGGTACGGGGTTCGAATTTTAGGCGTGCTTTGTACATACCAACGAGTTTTCGACGAAATATTATGTTCCTATAGTATCTACCTGTACTGAATACCGAGTGTTTTAATTAAGAAAAACACTGCGAGGAAGCTTGTAAGACTGTCATATTTCCAATACATCATATAGTTGAAATTATAGATGTATAAAATATAACAATTATAGGTAGGTAATGAAAATAAAAAAGCTGATTGTAGTTACATACTACTAGCAACATATATTGGAGCACTTTAATACAATTTTATTGTAAAATATAAATAATACTCTTTTATAGTTTGAAATTAATGATTAACTCTTCACACTCATTGTTCATTTGTGATTGAACGAGAACTGAACGCATCACTATTACTTTAAATATAGCAACATTATTTCACAAAGTGACATTAGCTACTGTCAGCTAGCTTCGTCTAATTAAAAATCCGACTATAAATCATATTATTTATTTGAAATGAATTTTAGTGTACTTACACATGGACAAATTACGAGTTAAGAACGTTATTGCACTTCGTGATAACGTAGATTTTATCATGTTGTATGTAATTGTTTTAATGTGAAATAGAATTTACATGCTGAATGTAACTGCATGTCATTACACAAAAAAAAACGAAATTATTAGTTGTACAACATTACATTACATACTGTTTATATATTTACACCAATATTATCTATACTAATCTAATTACAATCACGACCAAGTTTATTAAATTGCTTTGTATTTAATAATACTTTAATCTATTTAATGAAGAATTTAGAGCAATTTGGACATGTGCGATATAGAATTACAGACCATTCATACATGGATAAGGGTGAGACCGATATATTAGTATTCATTAAGATATTCGTAATACAGCTTGTATTCGTCTATCGGTAATCCGTCGAAATCTGATACGCTAATATTCCGTATTCACTTATTCATAAAATTAGCCAACTCACATCGGTCGGGTTGTATTTATCCACAGAACACTGCTACTTGTAGCGAACTATCTATCACACGAAAATATTAGACATGTGTAAGTAATGTGAGTGATATTACTCCGGTAATATTACTCTACGATGTAATGCAACATCACACATTACGCGAAGGAAACAAACATCACACTATCACCCAACATGTTTCTTTCTTTGTCGTGTAATGTTGCTTAATACACGAACGCAACCGAGCGAGCGAGACAGACCGATCGACGCTGCAACGCGATGGCTTGACGTGCAGTGCTACAGCACTACGCAAAATAAATGAGCAAGCGACACGGAATTATTCCTAGTGATTTTGAACCGTATGCCCTAGCCGCTAGGTACATTTTTATACCTATGGTACGTCTGAATTTTAATATAGGTATTTGTGTTTATATTTTTCATGCGGCCAGCCAGTAGTTCCCCGCAAGTAGTTACTTAATTTTTTATTCACAACTTTTGTAAAATCGCTAGTCGCTCGTAATTGTTTAGTAATATTTAATATTAATTTTTGTGTTTGAATTACTTAAGCACTTGTTTGAAGATAGTTTTATTATTTGTTTTAATGCGTGTTTAATAAGTGAAAGAAAGAATGGCGTCTAAATGAAAGTACAGTCCTCTTTGGATGTACTTTGAGGAGACCGCGCCGAAATAATGCGTCTACTGCTCTCATATATTAACATTATCGTCGAGCTCAATTTAGTCTCAGTCTAAGTCGCCATATGAAATCCGTTCATCCCACAATAAATTATATAAAGTAAAAAATTAAATTATTATATTATTAAGTAAGTCAATCTCTGTCAAGTAATATAACAGTGTATTACAATACAAAGTACTATGAACACATCACTTAGGTAATGATTCGGGTGTATAGATACAATGTATTCGTCACAGTATCTATTGAACGCACTGAGTAATGTTAAGAGTGATGTATAATGTTTTCGAGTAATATCACCTTTATTGCTTAGATGGATGGACGAACTCACAGCCCACCTGATGTTAAGTGGTTACTGGAGCCCACAGACATCCACAACGTAAATGCGCCACCCACCTCGAGATATAAGTTCTAAGGTCTCAGTATAGTTACGACGGCTACCCCACCCTTCGAACCGAAACGCATTACTGCTTCACGGCGGAAATAGGCAGGGTGGTGGTACCTACCCGTGCACACTCCCAAGAGGTCCTACCACCAGTGATTACGCAAATTATAATTTTGCGGGTTTGATTTTTATTACACGATGTTATTCCTTCACCCGTGGAAGTCAATCGTGAACATTTGATGAGTACGTATTTCATTAGAAAAATTGGTACCCGCCTGCGGGATTCGAACACCGGTGCATCGCTTCATACGAATGCACCGGACGTCTTATCCTTTAGGCCACGACGACTTACTACTTTCTCGCGGATATCTGTCTATCACATTCATACCAATACTGCATGCGCTAAGAGTAAGTGAGATAAACTACATCTTTATATACTGAGCTAAGACAATAAGTATATATCATTATGAGTTTAATGACTATTTTGTATTGCAATTTTTACATGTCAAAGATGCTAGTGGGAATTTTTAGATGCATTACTTTTTAATGTTTGAACCTTCATTTCTTGATTCAACTAAAGATTCTACTCAAGGCAAAATAGTGCATTTTTACATTTATTGGAATAAAAACGGGGAGCTTTATTTTTATTTTTTCAATTTTTTTTTCTGTTCCCTTCAAATAAGTTGGTTTTAAAACGATGATTTGAAAAACGGAAGTAGGTAGTTCACATTGTTTACCAATTTCATAAATTAAAATATATTTACACAAAACGTATTACGGCCAGAACTAAATGAAGTGTTTTTACGTAATAAATTATGATGATAATATATTTTGGCGGTGGTATTTAATTAAGAACTTCTCAAAATATAAATAAAAGTTTGATTTTTGAATCGAAATGACTTTCTAAACGAACGGTTCGTGGATTATAATATTATAAATGTTGTGTACCTACTAGACACCTCAATACCGTGTGAGAGGATTTTTCAAAATCTGGTAAACTTATTTCTGAACGACGTACCAGTCTATCGGTAGAAAAAGTAAAAAAGCTGATGTTTTTATGCACCAATAAGAAATAAATAATATTACTATAACTTGTTGTTTATATTAATGTACAATGTTGACCAAATTCTGATTTAATAATAATATTCATTTTAATGTACATGACGGCGTTAACGATATTTATGTTATATAGCACGTGCAATAGGAGTGACTCACACAAGCCAGGCGCGCCGGCCGTGTCGTTCCACTCGTAAACAACAGCTGCAACAGAAGTGACTCATAAGCCAGCTGCGCCGGCTAGTATAAAAAGGCGGAACGTGCCTTGAAATGAACATTCGTTGGACTGCGCTTGCCTGGTGCACTTACTATATCCTTGTTACGTTGTGTGATTCAGTGACTGTTGTACGTACTGGTTAAAGTTGGACAAGTGTTAAAGTGAATTGTTAAGATAACATATTGTTGATTAAATCAGGAATCAAAAAGTGACATCGTTTTACTTGGTGTTCAACAAGATAATGTCTACCCTCAAGCTTACATCAGAAGTGAGATCAGGACTCTACTCTCACTGGCGTGACGTGTTTGAACATGTTCGAAGTACAGCAAAAAAAACATGATGCAGATCAGAATACTAGTAGTGGTACGCCACAAGAGCGTGAATGCAGCATACGTAAGTCGTGTAATAACGTCTCTGTTACCTCGATGGAAGATCTGAGCCACGAAGAAATCGTCACATCTTACGTTCTGGCTCATGTTGCCCAGTTTGACTGTCGACTTCATCACATGGCATTTACTAACGG